GGTTCTCACAGCGCTCGGTTCGCAGAGCACTCCCCTCCCTGGACATCCACAAGTCGAGTGGGCCTGACGGAATTGGGGCGACAATTGTGCTGAGGACGTGTGTTCTGGAGTTGGCACCGGTTCTAACGCGTCTTTTGCGGTACTCCTACTCCCTAGGCGTAGTCCCGAAATCATGGAAGACAGCTTTTGTCCATCCGACCGCGACCGCTCAGACCCGTCCAACTACAGGCCTATCGCCATCACCCCCTTGTTCTCCAAAATAATGGAATCCGTTATAAACTGCCACCTCGTGCGGTACCTTGAGGATCACCAGCTGATTAGTGACCGCCAATACGGTTTTCGTCGGGGTCGATCAGCTGGTGATCTTCTGGTCTACTTAACTCATAGATGGGCGGAGGCAGTAGAGTCCAAGGGGGAGACATTGGCCGTTAGTTTGTACATTGCGAAGGCCTTCGATCGGGTTTGGCACAAAGCGCTTCTTTCGAAGCTCCATTCCTATGGGCTTCCCGAGAAATTATGGATTATGGAAAATATGGATATATTGGATCACCAGCTTTCTTGCAGATCGGAGCATCAAGGTCGTTGTAGACGGTGCATGCTCCGACTACAAACCTTTTAACGCTGGTGTTCCACAAGGCTGCGTGCTATCACTAACGTTGTTTCTTCTGCATATCAATGATATTTTACAAACCGGTAGCATTCATTGCTATGCGGGAGATATCACTGGTGATGCGCTATACACCGGCCGTGCCAATATTTCTCGGGAAAACGTCGTCGAGTACCGGAACAAACTTGTGTCTGAAGTCGAGTCTTTGCTGAACAAAGTCTCGAATTGGGGGCGACTAAATCTAGTCCAGTTTAATCCTCAGAAGACACAAGTTTGCGCGTTTACCGCCAAAAAGAACCCCTTTGTCGTATCTCCTCAGTTTCAAGGTACTCCCCTTGTTGCCTCAGCCAGTATCGGAATCCTCGGCGTCGACATATCGAGTGACGTGCAGTATCGTGGTCACTTGGAAGAGAAGGCCAAATTGGTCTCTGAAAAGCTTGGCGTGCTCAGCAGAGCGGGACAGTATTTCATGCCGGCACAACGCCTGCAACTTTACAAGGCGCAGGTTTGGCCTCACATGGAATACTGTTCCCATCTCTGGGCTGGGGCTCCCCAGTGCCAGCTCCTTCCACTTGACCGCATCCAGAGCGGCTCGAATCGTCGACGACCGAGTCCTTTCCGATCGGCTCGACTCATTGGCGCTGCGAAGAGATGTTGCATCTCTTTGCATTTTCTTTCGCATTTACCACGGGGACTGCTCTGAGGAATTGTTCGGATTAATCCCAGCCGCCAAATTTCACGAACGCACGTCGCGGCAGAACTCCCGATACCATCCACACCATCTGGATGATTGGCGGTCCACCATTGTGCGATTTAGAAGATTTTTTTAGAGCGATATTTCCGGACCGATACGACTTAGGGACCTTCAAGAAAAGAGCCTACTCTTTTTTAAAAGGCCGGCAACGCATCCGCAATTCCCCTGGAGTTGCGGTTGTTCATGGGCGGCGGGAGTCACTTACCATCAGGTGAGCGCATGCTCGTTTGCCCCCTCTCCGTAAAAAAAAAGCTGGTAAAAGTGTAGATACTACTTCTTTTGTATAGACGTTTTCTCTGTTGGTGCTGGAATCATATATATCTTCGAGTTTTTATACTAGTTTTTTTAAATTATTCTGCAGTGGTTTTACAACGTCATTTTGTCTCTGAGAGTGTTTTGCCGCATACGCCTACACTTTTTATTAGTTTTCCATTGACGTGTGGATGATGAAAAGAACCTGTAAACTCTTTCTACTGTTCCGAGAAAAAGTTAAACTTGAATTAAAGCTCCCTAAGTGAGTGCACTCCGCATAGATTTGATTTAGCGAATGATTAGCACAAGGCGTTTCCTACGTGGTAGAGCCATGCTGCAGCTATATAAGTAGTATAGTTGTAGCACAAATGGGTCGACTCGACCGGGGAAGGACCACGCACTCGCAGAATACCTGCATAAAATAACAGCTCAACACTGATGTATTTCGTATGGTGAGTGTAGAGAACCGGAGACTGTTTATTACTGGAAAAGAGTCATTTCATCTTAGCTCTCACGGGTGACAACGCATCTGCATTTTGATTCCCAAACTAGGATAGATGTAGATGTCTATGAGCCATAGCAACCACTTACCATCCGGTGGACAGTGTGTTCGTTTGTCACCCTATTCTATAAAAAAAAAACAAGATATTCATTTATTTGACAACGACAAATTTTAAAATAGTGTTGTCATCTATAGCGTAAAATGCACCTCCTAGTTTTTAGGGAAAGAACATTCGTGTAACAGAAACAGAAACTTTTTTTTCAATATAGATTATAAATAATACTTATTGAAAGTCTCTCTTATGTTTAATTACCACTGGTTCGGAAAAAATATCTCTGACCTGGGAAGAACCAGCAAGAAACCCTGCGAAAATTTTTCTTTTAAATAACAGCTTACAATCATGTATGTTACACAAATTAACAACACAACAAATTAGAAATAGCTTGGTAGCGATCACCTTATGTCCAGGGGTTATTATCATCCATAAATTCTATAATATTAAAATAATCCTTTTTATACAAACTTAGTTTATTAAAGTTTTTGAACTTTCAGCAGGTCAAATTTTGTATATTTTCTGGAATTTTGTTGTAAAAGCAAATACATCGCCCCAGGAATGTATTACTGACTCGATGGAGTCGAGTAACTGGTACTACTAGCTTGTGTCTGTTCCCAGTATTTACAGAATGAATATCACTTATTTTTGTAAAACTACTTTTATTTTTGTGTACGTACATTACATTTTCATAAATGTATTGAGAGGCCAAAGTTAATATTTTATTAATTTCCTTAAATTTTTGTCGCAGCGACTCTTTAGGCTTTAAATCATAAATTGCTCTTATGGCCCTCTTCTGTAAAATAAATATAATTTCAGTGTCAGCTTCGTGTCCCCATAGCAAAACACCATACGATATTATGCTATGGAAATAGCTAAAGTAAACTAGTCTAGCTGTTTCAACATTGGTAAGACTTCTAAATTTTTTTACAGCATATGCTGCAGAGCTAAGTCTGCTTGCTAATTTTGATATATGGGGGCTCCATTGAAGCTTGGCATCTAACGTGATTCCAAGAAAAATGGTGGTATCTAACTATGATTAGCGATAAAAATGTAAGATTATCGTTCTAGAATACGTCTAAAATATTAGTTTAGGTCAATAACTGTCTTAACGTTGGTAATGTTTTTATTTTGTGTAAACATTTATCAATGTTAGAAGGAGATAAAATACCAAACTCGGTGCCTCTCTTTCTAAGAAAAATGAGGAACGGTTACAATGTTCCAAGCGCTCACTCCCTATATTATATTATAACCTCCTTGAATAAAACAAATGCTCTTTGTAATATGTTTATTCAAAATCCATTTCCGTTTCAGTGTCCGAGGAAATGTCAGATGTCTGTTACATTTATGATGATTAAATCGATAGTTTTATTGTAGTTACAGTAAATATTTGATTATCCAGTCTATGTAATTTTGACTCTTTTTCTCTCATTTTTAGAATAGTTGTGTTTTGAAATTCGATGAAACGAAAAAGCGACACTAAAAAGAGACATACATATATAAAAGGCTACGAGAGAATGAGATTGAATACAGTATTTCGTGATACATATTATCTTGGTCTCCTTTTCTGAAGGTTTCACATCTACCGCGTTTAAGCTGCACACATGTTTTTGTTTTTACGTGACTTATAAAATTTTGCTATTTTTTAATCAAAAAACTTAACCAAGAACAGTAACCACGATTGTATCCCAGTACGGAATGTCGTTAAAACTTTTGTTCAAAAGTGAATTACAATGTCAAGACATACCAAAGAACACTTGCACTTTATGATGATAGCGGATTATCAGCAATGATTTGTGCGAGCACTTCGATTATACATTTATGTACGACCAACAGGGACAAGTTATGGGCATTATTGGAAGAAATTCTACGTGCTCTACGACCGGGCTTTAGTGTTGTCCAGCTATAGGAATGGTGGACGATCTTAAGTACGGACGGAAAAAGAACAACTATTAAATAGCCCGTCGAAATAGACTGGATTGGCGCTAGGATATGATGAGAAGTTTTTTTAAATTATACTGTTACGGAGCCGTGGTAGCTCAGATGGTTAGCTCTCGCTGTAAAATTCACAGTACGCAAACAACCCAGGTTCGATCCCCGTCGGCATCAATGAAATTGCTAATTGCGATTTTATGTGCTGATTTACCACGTGCTCGGCGGTGAAGGAAAACATCGTGAGGAAACCTGCATGTCTGAGAAATAAGAAAAAAAGTCGAAGACGTGAAGTTCGCCAAGAATAGAATAGAATAGAATGATTTTTTATTCAATATTGATTATTACATAATACTTATTGAAAGTCATTTTTTATTTACCACTGGTTCGGGAAATACCTCTGTCCTGGGAAGAACCAGCAAGAAAACCAGCGGGACTTTTTTTTTCAAGAAGCATTGGGGCAGCGCGGCAGACATTACCTTGCCCTAAAACCCTCTCAGAAATGAGGAGAGGCCTGTGCCCAGCAGTGGCACGTATATAGCCTGTAACTTTAACTTTTTAACTTATACTGTTACGGACTAAGTAAAATATACCAAAAATGTAGCTCAATAGAAATATATCTTTCATGACAAAAATAGTTGATAAAAATATCGTAAATCAAAGCACAATTTTGCAGTTAAGTATAAATTTAGTTATAAACTGAAAAATATATTTAAGGTCATTTTATGTGTTTAATTAATTAATATTTAAAAGCCGAGATGGTACAGCGCTAAGAAAAGATGGCGTTATTCAACCTAATTTTAGAGGTCACGGTCCGAGTGCAGTGGAAGAACTAACCCCGACATACCAGTTATACTGTTGGGGGAAAGTGAATTTAAAAGAGGGTAAAATTGTCCGCCAGATGGAGCCGTCGTCGTCAACGCGGACAGCCAGGCTCGGGACGCAACCGCGATGCCATGGACTACCGCACCGGCTACATCCGCTCACACCTGCGCTCGCCCTCAGGCCGCGTCAGGTGACCGCCCTCCCCACCCACCTCGCCCGGCAACTCCCCCCCGCACACCACCGCCAACGCACTATACTAATAAACCGCACCGCTACCTTGGACTGAAAGCCACCAAGGTACTATCTATGGAACGTTAGTGAACACACGAGGAAGGTGCAATAATAGTAAAGGTTTAAGTAACCCCAGCGCTTATATGACAAGATTCTGATTGTTACCAATTGAAAAAGTGTAATGATAGAACTACAAATAGTAAATTGTTATAATATATCCAAAATGCATGTTTATGTAGAAAGTGACTTTAAAAAGAACAAAGTTCATTAGGAATTAGCTGAAATTTAATAATGAAAGTGTCATAGATGACAACTTAAAACGATTTATCATCAGTAGATATTTTTGTTGATATCATAATAACCTAGATGAAGTGCAATGCAAAGTAAATTTTAATAAAGTTTACTTTGCTCTTCTTCATCAGCTTATAAATGTCTCTGCTGGCCCTGAGACCCCGAATCTTGGAGATGCAGAATGTTGCGGGTTACGAATAAAAAAAAACGAGTGCGCCTTACAGTAGTCGCATATGATGTGTAACATCTGACATCTCACCTTGGTAATAACATAATGTGTGTAATGAATACTAATAGTGAGTCAACTCCTTTGTTATACCGCAAAATACCTATGCTGTCGTCCCTCAAAATATGCAAGGGTTGTCACAATAACATTTCTTTAGATAATAATATCATAACATTATATTTTATCTGTATTCCTCGTAATAATTTATTTTTCTATAAAAAGATACAAAGTAATTAATACTTTAGAAGACTAGTTGCGTCCCGCAGCTTCACCTGATTCGTCGTGATGGAAATAAAGACTTGTGCTTGTGTAGGTAAGTATCTCATGTATTCCCCTTAAATACTGGATAGGGGGTTGAACAGAAGAAATAAAACCGGTTAAAATTATACGTTGGTTCTGTTTATTCTTTAAGCGCCGCTTCGTTACAGATGTCCAACGGACAAATATTTACGACATTTATTATTTATTTATTTATTTATTTATTTATGCTTTATTTGCACACCAAGTACAAAAAGGCGGACTTAATGCACCAGGGCATTCTCTACCAGTCTACCTCCAGGCTAAGCAGAGAAAATATTGTGGGTGCAAAGTGCAAACAGCTAAGTAAATAACATCTATGTCTACATAATACATACAGTATATATACATATATATATATATATATATATATATATATATATATATATATATATATATATATAAATATATATAAATACATACATACAAATATTTACTTACTACTACTTATTATACACATACTACTTATTATACATATATATACATAATTAAATATGGCAGTTTCTGATTCGAACTCCAATAACAAATGTAAAAATCAAATGGAAAACCACAAACTACTCCTGCAACGTTAGATAGTAATTATTGGCCTTTTTTAATTGTCTTTTGTTGAATTTAATGATATATCATGAATTCTCGTCCTTACATATAATTCAATTGAAAATCGTGATGGAAAGAATCACATGGTTGTAAGAATTCAATCTTAAGTCATCGGAGTTGTTGCGGATGCAAAATTTTTGACATACGCGGATGCGGATTTTTAGAGGCTCAGCGGAGTTCGAAATTTTTTTTGAAAAGTTGTTCCTTATGGGAGCAATTAAATCATCATCATCATCATCATTACAGCCTTTCATAAGTCCACTGCTGAACATAGGCCTCCCCCCAAGGAATGCCACAAAGCACGGTCCTGAGCCATCTGTATCCATCGACTTCCTGCATGTCTTACCATATCGTCACTCCATCTCGTGGGGGGTCGCCCTACACTTCGCCTACCGGTACGAGGCTGCCACTCGAGAACCTTCCTTCCCTTTAAATAGAAGACTGTTTTCAGTTACATTAAAAACATTTTTTATAATCAAAATAAAAAAATGGTGCAACATATTTAATGAAAAGTACATATAAAAGTAACTTTATCAGCCTGCAGACTAAATACACAGCGCAACAGCGCAACTAAATAACTGTTCACTGGGAATGCTGCACGGTGGAAGTGATAAGTATTTGCATGCAAACCCAGAGATAATTTTCGAGTCTCCTCTATTTACTTTTCACCAGGTCACAGTGGATTTTGATCCACATCCAGTATTTTTCTGCCGATACATTACCAACTCTTTCTTTAAAAGGGCATGTGGGTTGTGTCAGATGTTTCTTCTTAGCCTTCATCTTCACTCGATGAGTGAAATTGAACGTCTAACATCAAGGCAAGATCGACAACATCCAGACCCGGAACAATTATTTGTAGGCCATATAAATACCAGCTCCGTGCGGGATTCGAACCCGCGGCCCTTAGCGTTGCAACTCATTGAAGTCTTCGTATATTAATTATTAACGATAGTAAAATCATGAAAAATAATTTAAATCAAACTCAACATCAAAAACTACTATCAAAATCGGCAAGTGTTATTATTCCAAAGAAGGAGGTTCTCAATTCAGATGTTTATGTACTTTCTGTTTTTAAATAGCTTAAAATACCGCTTTTAAGTAATAAAATCTAATAAATCGTGTGTAAAGTAGTCATAAAATAAATGATAATATCACATTGAACGTCTTCCTTTTTTTTAATTAACACTGAATTATATAAATAAATACAAAATATTAAAATTAGGAGACAGTAAACCCATGTTCCCATTTGATTTTTTAGAAAGTGTGCCTATAGCTCAGAATTACTTTTCGTGTGCATTCTCCACATCTACATCCGCATAAAAGATCCGCATTAATTTATGCGGATGCAGATGTCTAAATCAATTTCTAAAACAAAATTAGATGTTCCGCATTTGCGGATGCGGATTTGAATATCCGCACCATCCCTGTGCGTCATACAGTCTTTTAGTTCTGGTCCCAATATTTTCAAATAAGTCAATTAAATAATAAAAATAATATCGAGTAATATTGTGTTGCTGGGTGAACACCAAACGCGTGCAACTGATTCCGTGTACGTGACACTTCTAAACGGGCAAGCAAGCAAAACCGACCGGGTAGGATGGGGATCCGCTCACCTTCATACCGCGTCCCATCGTTGCTCCGTCTAGTAGCTGAGTTGACTCACGATTAGTTACACATTATGAACAGTAAATACATTTATTAATATAGTTTACACATATAAATTAGTTTATATAACAGCACACTACTACCACCGCGCGCGCTCATTGGTCAAATCAAATAGCACGCGCTTCCCCGGCTTCCTGTTACACACTTCTATCTCTTTTCACGAAATCACTCCCACAGATTGCGAGAGGAAAGATGTTACTCATAATGAAGTTCTATTAATTCATAGTTAGTTATATTATGTTTTAAAGTACCTGAAACCAATACAAACTTTGAATATAAAGATTACGCTATACCTAGAGCTTATTCAACTAAAATTATTTAGGATATTTGAAAAAAGATCTCATTACGAATTATTTTAAATTTTATTGTTAACTAAGCAAATATTGTTATCATTTGTTATAAAAATAAATTGGTTCACAATAACGAATAATGGCAGTATACTATAATAAAAAATACTTATATTGGATGTTATGCAATATAAACTTTTTTTATGACTGTGGTAAGAAGTAACACTTTGTATTCGGTAGTTAAGTAATAAGGTCATGGATTAACGAAGGGAAAGTACATAGGGATTGTTCATGATGCAAAAAACATTGATATAGGATTTATTAAAATTGTGTACATGTTTGCGAAGCAATACTGCGTCATATACAGTATATTTCAAAAATCGTGGGGCCTTCTTTTTTTAGCAGAAATGAGTTTTTATTAGAGTATTTATTGAAATTGATAAGATTTTGCTGCATACTGTTTAAGGGTTTAAAATGTTTTTCTTAATTATATTACTAATATTCATACGCTTGTTTTATATGTTGTTGTAGTTGCCTATTACATGTTTTCTTTTATTTATTTATATTTTAAATAAAATTCTAGTCGTCAGAGATTTAATGAAGTATGAAGCAAAGAACTTTTTATACTCCATTATATACAATTCAATTTTATTTATACACTCAAATATAAAAATTAGATTGTTCATCTTTGGTCATGAACTTTACATATTTTAAAATAAATTACACTGTCGTGTGTTAACTTGAATGTAGTATTTTACAGTATAGTTTCTGTTAAGTTTTGAGACAAATTAAATTTCACTTAATCTTTGTTTTTTAAGTTTTTATATTTTAGTTAAAAAAATGTTCAATCGTGTGTGTATGAAGGAATGAATGAGTTTGATTAATGGCCTTTTACGTTTCCTATGAAATCACAACATTATACTTTACGCGTGCATGTACTTTATAAAAAATGTAACATCTTATTTGGCATAAAATCATTTTTATTGGATTTTAGTCAGTTCTAAATGAAAAGAAAATTTCTGCAAAACTTCAGACTAGATAATATTGTAACAAACATGTTTTATACAGGATGTTGAGTCTGTTTCTTTCGAAAAAGTTTTGTTTGGAATTTGTTCTTTTTTATGTATGAAAGAGTTCAAGAATTCCTCATACTATATCACGCAGACTGTCCCAAAGGTTCACTCTTTTGTTTATCATAAGTTATATCCTAAGTCTGTGATATTTATGAACAGATGAGGTTTAATTAATTTAGTTTAGTTATAACTGTCAGTATTGTTTGCTACCTTTATTTTTTTAATTTTCTATTTTTGGTAACCTTGTCTTATGTTTGTCAGTGTAGATATGTGTGTATGTGTGTGTGTAATAAATCATTGCATACTCTTTGTATTACACTGCATTTTCAATCAACATTAAAACAAATATAAAAATTATGATGATAAGGATGATAGCTCACTGAGAAGTTTTAAAATGCGGGCGAAGGTTGTATTTATGTAGACCAACACTGAAGTGTGAAAAATAAGGCGGTTTTGACAAATAATTTTTGATCAGACTGATATAATGATGGTGGAATGTGTGTCATACAGTTTTATTTATTTATGTA